TATATATATATATATATATATATCATTCTTTATTAGAAAAATATTGTTTGAACATGATAAAACTATGACAACAAAACTCTCTTAAAAAATTTAACACAATTACATACCAATTATCAAACATGAAATTACTAGTTACTAAAACAATTTCATGTCAAATGATCTACATATTCCGTAATAAACTTAAAAAATTGAAAATCATTGTAGAACTAGTGTTTCCTCCTGTAATAATTTCAAGTCAACTAAAAATATCAAGGAAATCCAAATGAATAAATTATTCGCTAACTAATTATTGCCAAATTAAAAATCTTGTGGCAATGAGTAATTTTCAATTACAAATATTCATATAAAATTTATTAGTCAAGCTCAAGTCTTCACGAGGTTTTCAATATTTCGACATTTATTTTACGCATTCAGCTCTTCATTGATTTGATAATTTGTCTCAAATCTCAAACAACTAGCTAAGCAAGGAAAAGCTGTGTTTTCTTTTCGCAGACGTAAATGTAGAAATAAGTTTCATCTAGCGTGATGATTTGGTCACCTCAATGTTGCATATAAAAATTCATCAATCACCACAAATCAACTGAAATTTGCTGAGTACATTTCGCAGTGTGGGTGGGGAAAACAGGAGGTTCCAGTCATTTTATATAAATAAAATTGAAATATAATGCAATTTCTTTTAACAGCAATTTCGTACCATCAACACCTCCAAATCATAACTACATAAACAAACTTCTAGAAATGAGATACCAACTCTTGCTAAAAGACTATTTGATGTACTGAGAAAGCCATTTGAAGCCATCCCCGTAACCCATTTTCTTCACAATACTGCACATGAATACCTCCATGGGACGAACATTTGAATCGGCCAAATTTACCTTACCCTTGCCAGTGGTGAAGTTAGTCAGGCCCAAATGGTAGCGCAACTCTTCTTCTGAGGCAGCATATGGAATATCTATTTTGTTCCCAAGGATAAGGAAAGGGACATTGGCTAAAGATTCATCAGATAGTAGAGCATCCAACTCCTTTTTTGATTCAGCAAATCTTTCCTTGTCATATGCATCAACCAAGTAGACCACTGCATCTACCTGAATCAAAGAAGGATGTAACTTACTCAGGAACATACAAAGTAAATAAATAACATGCACAAGAAAATAATAGATCTCGAGTAAGAAAAAAGTTATTTTAGTTCAAATATCACATAATACTAAATCATGCTTCAGAAGCATATGTTTGATCAGATACTTTAGCACACCCTCTAAAGTGAAAAAAGAGCTATCAGCAAGCAATAACCATGATTTCTGCCACAGATGAATCAAATGAAGTAATGAACATTTTTTAAAAATAAAATAAGGCATAAATTCATTTGTTTAGCTGTGGTCATATGATGAATTGCATACAAGTCTTTTAGAACATTCTGCAACAGGAGAGTAATTTTTACTTTACATTTTACAATTAATCACTATTCTGCCAATAGCAATTAGCAAGCACAATATAATAGATCTCAGGCAAGAAAAATTGGTTCGTAGTTAAAATATCACATAATACTAAACCAGAAACTGCTTCAGAAACATATATGTTTGGTCAGATACTTTACCACACCCTTTAAAAGTGGAAAAGGCACTCTCGGCAAGCTATTACCATGATTTCTGCCACCCATGAATCAAATTAAGTAATGTTTTTTATATGTAAGATAAAATATGAAGGCATAAACTCGTTGGTTTAGCTGTAGTTATACAATGAATTACATATTAATCTTTTAGAACATACTGCACCAAAAGAGCAGTTTTTACTTTACAATTAATCACTGATCTGCCAATTACAGTACTGAACACAAGAAAATTTTATCCTAGCTAACAGCTAGAAGAATTCAAATATTCTAAGTGAAACTCCTTGTACATCTCTATACCTGAAATCTCTATCAACACATATTAGCATGTCTAGCCACGTAAACAACAACAGTCAACAGAAAAATCCTTATCAGCTTATCTCATTAGGTGATATTGGCCACATGAATCACACAATACCATTTAACTTGGTTAAAGGCCAAATTACGTAATTCATGTAACTAAATTGCATCATGTGATCCATGTAGTCGACCTCACTAAGTGAGACAAGACTTAGTTGTTGTTGTAAAGACCAAATCATGCCTAGCCATCTAAACAAGAAAAAAAAGAAATTGCATAGCGGAGCAAGACTAAGATCTTAATATATCTAGAGAAGACCTAGTGGCACCCAATCACATGTTTTAATATAATGTGAGTGAGTAAGATAATCTCTGAGACCTGGGCATAGTAATCCTTCCAAACTCTTCGAGCAATCTGATGGCCCCCTAGATCAAAAGCTTTAAATTTGATCTTCCCAATACTCAACTCCTCCGAGGTTGGATACTGGGTAGGCTGATGCTGGACTAGTCTCTGCAAAACCAACTCTTAAAATAAATAAAAAATCACACCAAGACCATGGCAATTTCGAAAAGCGACAGACTGAGAAGTACACACTTGCTGTTAAAATCCCTTGCTTACCAAGACCATAAACTAATTGGCGGTGCAATAACAGCAAAATCCAATAAAATTTAATCAAATGTTTGACGCCAATGAGAAAGGGCAATAGATAGACATAGACCAAAACATGTCAATATAAAAATAAAAAAAATAAAAAATAAAAACTTTAACAAGAATTTTATGTCAACATCTCTTGGTAAAACAAGGAAAGGTAATATCAAATAAGTATCCAAGTAAAACTGCTGGATTTCTTTCAGAAAGACCTAAAAAACATGAGTCCTTTTCTCTAATTTAGTAAATATTAAAACCGTTAAAGTGAATAAGGTGAGAGATCCTCCACTATAGACGAATAGACATAAAAAAATGAAAAGTAAAGAATATATATATGGAAAAGGAAATTGAAGAGGAACCTCATCTTTGAGCATGTGAAGCAAGGTGGTTTTGCCGGCGTTATCGAGGCCTAAGAATAAGATCTTGGCCTCCTTCTGCCACAGCCCAAGCGACGCTAGAATCCCATAAAACCAATCGACCAAAAACATTGCCTTTTGTTTGTATCTACGATTGAAATGAAAGAGAATTGTAGAAAGAAAGACCTAACCCCAAAAGCAGAGAGAGAGAAAAGGGGTTGGTTCGTTTCATTCGCATCCGACTCGTTTATTTGGAAAATTCCAAATATTAAAATGCGGTTCTTGGATCGCTCACGGGCTAACCCGCTTCCAAATTACTATTCAATCATTTTTTTTCTCATCTTATAATGTTATATTGTTATTTGTCACGGCTGTTTTAATATGTACAAATATAATGTTGATTTAATGATTTTATATAATTAAATAAATAATTATATTATATTATATTATATATTTATAATAAATAATTTATATTGTGATATTAAATTATTTTAAATTATTAATATCTTTTTAATTTAATTATTTTTTAATCTTCCAAATTTGTCTTATATTTTTTTTTATTCTCTAAATCTTAAACTTGTGTTTTTAGTCTCTAAAATAATATAAAAAAAATATTTTAGTCTTTGAAATTTAAATTTATCTTTTTAATCTTTATCATTTCAAAAAAAAAATGTTTTAGTCATTAGTATAGTAACAGATTAAAAGAGATTAAAATAATATTTTTTTATATATTTTAAGAACTAAAAATATAAATTTTATGATATATATATATATATATAAGAAAATAAAAATATATTTAAATTTTTATTTTACAATAACATTATCTAATTTATAAATAAAACTAAAATAATAAATTATAAGGGATAAATTTGGATCACTTTTAACCCATAAACAAAATTCTGATAAGTTTTATTTCTTGTACTTTTTCCATTAAAACTTTTAGTTCTTATCATCAAATATTATCATTCAGTGATAATGTGCATGGGAGTCATGTGACACGTCACATATATTACAGGTTTAATTAATAACTATGTGTATGAACTACGTTTTTAGTCTGAATTTTTTTTTACAAAAATCATTTTTAATCTTTCGACATTTTTTTCACCGTTTTTAATTCATATGTTATTATTCATCAATGATTGTAGTAATTTCTGTCGAGTATTATTATTAAACAATATTGATGTCACAGTCACATGAACTATTAGTTTGACATTACAGTTACTTGGCAAAATATTACGGTGCTACAATTTTTTTTATGGTATAAGATTGTAAAATTTTTTTGGAAATTTTGGAGAAAAATAGGGGAAAAAATGTAATAAGTAAAATATAACCATTTATAATATACAAATCAATAATTTATTGATTCCTTATTTGATACTCATAATATGTTCTTCTATATACTATTTTAATTGTAAAAAAAAAAAAAAAACCAAGAAGTCGTTAACTTAATTATATAACATTGAGATACATGGTAATAATATTACTGAACCTGCATAAGGTTTGATTACGTCTTAAATCACATGTATTTGAGTTATTGTTATTCCTTTCCTTACCATCACTATTGATACAACATTATGCTCAAAATTCTTGAAAGTAACATCATTAGTTTTTATAACATTCACTTCAATAATCCTCATAAAAGATTTGACTTGAAATTAAGGAAAAGAAAATTGTAAAAGAATGATAGAGGTGGAAATTGAATGATGGAAAAACAACAAAAAGATTGTTATTTATGTAAGTATGAGTGAGGAAAATTATAACAAAAGATCAACGAATAATAAAAATAGATATATGAGAAAGAGTATGTCGAAGGGTGTGCTAAAAAATAAAGTTTAAAGAGTGTCCTTAAAATTATGATGTTAACTTGATAGTGATAAATGAATTGGATCATTGTATTAATCATATTAAAGTCGTTAAGATATGCATTGAAAATAAGTTTCAAGATATTCTTGTTAGCTTAATTAATCGCAAGTGAGTAGTTTTGACTTATTCTTGGAAATTATAGTATATTTTTTGAGAGTGTTAAATTACAGTGAAAGAAAAAATTAATAACGATATAAAAGGTGTTAATTATCATTAGAGGATGAAAAAAAAAAGTGAGTAGAGGAAGTACAATTCATAGTTTAACCATTATCAAGGGTGAGAAAAATGTGTTTGACATATTAAATAGAAATATATTAAAAGTGTTGTAGATAACAAGGAAGAAGGAGAAATATAAAGAAATAAAAATAAAAATAAATGAAAAGAAAAATATTTTATTTTAATATTTTATTTATAGGATCATTTAGTGAAAGAATGGAGTACATGTTGATATTATAAGAGAAAGAAGAGGAAATAGAGTATAAGAAAATTATGCTACCTAGTTCAATAATCGTTAAATATAATTGATTATGTTCGTAAAACATTTGTAACACTTTTACGATAATTGGTTTATTTATAAGTTGATGATTTTCAATGTGAGAGGGGGACCCATCTTTTTTTTTACTTACACTCTTCCACCCCACCAAACACATTTCTATCACGTACTTCTTTCATCTTTCCTCCCTCTTTTCATGCACCAAACTGGCTGTAAAGACTAATTCACATTATTACAAGAATAAATCATTTATACATTGTTAGTATAAAATTTTTACACTGATAATTAATTATATCTTTTAATTGTATCATGTCACTATTAAAAATAAATATATTTATAATGACATAATATAATTAAAAAATATAATTAATTGTCAATATAAAAAAAAATTATACTACCACCAATATATAAGTGATTAACTCTTATTATAGTATAAAAGCAATACAATATCTTTTGTCCTCTTTTGATCTGGTACTGGTAGTATTGTAAGGCCCACTGTGTTGAAATAAATATGAAAACCAGAAGCCCAAATCTTCACCGCCAACAGATTCACCGAATAACCCCTCCATTTCACTGCTCAAGTTGGACACAAACCACATCCAATTCCTATGATGAGAAAATATATTATATAAAATTAGTAGGATAGTGATACTTCGTATCTTTATTAAAAAAAAATAATTAATAAATGTTATTTTTTTAATTTTTTAAAATAAAAAATATAATGATGAATAAAATATGGAGATAAAATGATTATTAAAAAAATATTTATTTTATATATTAATATAAATAAATAAAACGAATACTGTGAGTAAGAAATAAAAATATATATTATATAAAAAACTTTAAATACACATTAAAATTAAATTATTTTTATAATAGTTATGTTCAAAGTTCAAAGTGACAGTAAGTTTTAATTGATTAAAAATAAAAATATAAATATGCAGCAATAAATGATTTTTAACTCATTAAATAGAGTTATTTGGTGACATTACATTGGTGAAAGAGCAAGTGGCGTGAGTAACTCAATATATCTGTTTGTCTGTTTCTTTTTTCCCTTAGAAAATCAAAGGCAAACTTGTACTTTCTTGGCGAGTTGAAAAAAATGAGTGAAGAAGCAAAGAACGAACGGCGAGTCCTGGTGGCGGTGGACGAAGGAGATGAGAGCATGTACGCTCTTTCTTGGAGCCTGAAGAACGTAGTTTTCCAAAATTCCAAAGATACCCTTATCCTTCTGTACGTGAAACCCCATCATGGGGTTTATTCCGCCTTAGATGCCACAGGCATACTCGATGAACCTCAAATTCCAGGTTTTTTTTTTCTTCTTTCTTTTATAATTAAAAAACAGTATCACCCAATTAAGCGCTGCCCTACGTTTCTATGTATAATTTCAGGGCATTCGTATTCGCCGCAAATAACCGCAGCCATCGAGAAGTATAGCCAAGAAGTCGCCGATTGCGTCTTACAGAAAGCCAAGAAATTGTGTAAAGATCTCCAAAACGTATGTTAATTATGTTCCTTCCATATTAATTTAACATTTTTTTTTATCACGTATCACACACCCTTTCTCTGTTTGTTGAATAGGTGAAGTTGGAAACAAGGGTCGAGAGTGGAGACCCGAGGGACGTGATCTGTGACATGTCTCAGAAATTGGGTGCTGATTTGCTGGTGATGGGTAGTCACGGCTTTGGAATCCTCAAGAGGTACCAACTTGGTTCAGCTTCTAGAGTCCTTTCTTTTTATGTTTAATTTGATAATATATTATTAATATATAGTACAGTAAGTCGTTGTATGGGGACCTGAATTATAGGGCTTTTCTTGGAAGTGTGAGCAATTATTGCTCACAGAACGTCAAGTGCCCAGTTTTGATCGTCAAGAAGCCAAAACCATCTGCCAGTACTGGATAATCATCTCCTACTTTTGCTCTTTTATGTACTTTTTTCTTGCTCTCCATTTTGGTTTTGGGTATGTCTTGTTCATCTTCTCCCCTTTAGACCAGTCACTGCTTCTAGAAACTATATGGTTGATGTTAATGAGTTAAATAGAGGCTTTCTTTTCGTTATTGGATAAAATCTTTAAGAAATGCTAATGCTTAGGGAGTTAGTTAAACGAAGCCTAATAAGAAAATTTTTAACTCGTGTTTTAGGTATTTACTGACATAATTAGATTTTCAAAATATTAATTTTAAATAATTGGGCATCTATCTTAACTCCCCCTCCCCCTTTTTACAAGTTTCGTCCAATTAATTTTCCCAATTAGTAATCTTTTAATCAAATGGTTTCCAATGTTGTCAACAACAAACACTGTTAGACAATAAATAAATAAAAATAATGCTCACTTGTTTAATTATTTGTCAAGTACGTGTTTTGTGCTAACACGGCAATGATGCATATATATTTTCTTTTCTTTTCTAATTATAAAGCATTATTTTAGAAAAAAGCAAATATAATGCAACTCTTCTACTGCATGGTTTATTATATAGTATTAGCGTAAAATTGCAATTTCTAGATCTGGTCTTAAAAATATATTTGGGAAATTTAAAAAAATAATCAAAACTTAATGGTTAATAAATAGGAACTTAAAAAAATTATTTTTTAATTTTAATTTTTAATACACTGCCGGTGAAAAAAGCAGTATACTAGCAATCAATTAGAAATCATAATGAGTATGATTTTTAATACATTTTATATTGGATATATTTTATTGCTGGATTCTATATTTAATAATACTGTGAGAAATAAATCGACCTAAATTTAAAAGTTTTCTTGTTGTCAATTTTTTTTTTAATAATTTTCGATTGCAATCTATGATATAAATAAATCAAAAATATACTAATTACGTAAAAATATGTCAAATCAAACTTTGATGGATTTGAATTTATCCTACAATAAAATTATTAAGTTCAAATCTAGACTGTTTATTTGTTATAACTTTTTTTTAAATGTTATATATAACTTATTTTAAAGTTTGACCTACTTTCAAAATCTGTTGCCGTGGCCTTTTTTTATATAATACCTAGATTTAAGTATTAAATATAATATTAATATATTAAAAATATTAATTATAAATTAAATATATAATATAATATTATTTTATATTTATAGAAAATCGGCTTGCAGGGTCTAATAGATTTTTTTTTAAAGTCTAAAACTTAATATTTTTAATTAAAAGGGCTTTTTAAAAAGTTCAAGCTCGACTTTTTAATAAATAGGTTTGTCCAAATCTCTAAGAGGCAAGATTGCATACCTTTAACAAACTATAGCTTATTTTCACATTTAATACTAACATATGAAAGTATTATTATGTTTATTATTTTCGTTCTTTATTTCTTTATATGGACCGGTGATATTTTTTTGGTTACATTTCTTTCCTTAACACAAAAACAATTAGGGTACATGTTTTGTTGAGAGAACAAAGAGAAAAGATTTGCATACCCTTAATAATTTATAACTTATTTTCACTTTTAATACTATCATGTGAAAGTATTATTATGTTTATTATTTTCTTTCTTTATTTTTTAATATGGACCAATGATATTTTTTTTGTTACATTTCTTTCCTTAACATAAGAACAACTAGGAACTTGTTTTGTTGAGAGAAAGTCAACCAAACAAAATATGCTCACCTCCCTCCCAACACAAAAGGGAAAATTGTTATTGGAAACTACAAATCAACTCTAGGTAGATAAATAAATTCACTAGTTGAATTGATTGTTTAAAACATTTATAATGATCATGTTGCAAATTCACCCATTAAAACTTTGTTACGCCTTCTTCCTAACTTTTTTAAATTGTTATGAATTAAGACTAGTTATATTTTAAAGGTTAAAAATCTATTTTGGTCCTTTATAATAATTATTTATTTCAATTTAGTCCCCACTTTTATTTTTTGTCTCAATTTGGTCCCTAATAAATTAATTGGTTGCAATGTAAGACTTTCGTCCAAATTATTTAAACGGAGTTAACTATTGGCCACGTGGATGCCACGTAGATGCATAGGTGGATGCCACGTAGATGCATAGGTGGATGCCACGTGGATGTCAAATTTATTGAATACACCTGGAACCAGAACGGCCCGTTCTGAATCCAGAACGGCCCGTTCTGAATCCAGAACGGCCCGTTCTGAATCTAGAACGGGCCATTCTGGGTGCACTTTTGGTGTGTTAATTTTGCATCTAGAACGGGCCGTTCCAGTGCAAAATTAACACACCACGAGTACAACAAAACAGTCCGTTCTGAAACCAGAACAGGCCGTTCTGGTTTCAGAACGGTCCGTTCTAGAACGCCAACTTCATGTCTGCGTTGACCAAAATGCCGCAATGTAATTCAAAAATTGAAAATAAAAATTCATAACATATAATAAATTCAAAAACAAAAATATGGTTTAGAGACTTAAAATAAAAATTCAGAACATAACATATACTAAAAAAGTTCAAAAAAATTACTGAGAAGAAAAATCATCTAGATAACGTTGAAGGTGCCAATAATATATCTTATCCACCATATAACACTGAATGACAATAGAATATCAACATTATCTACCTGTACATGTGGTTGTGTGGTGAAATGTTAGTCCTGTGTATTCTCTTCCTTTACTTCAGGTTGTACCTCCTCAAGAATAGGTTGTTGTTGTTGGGGTACATCGTTAATGACTTCAAGGAAAAATATCATGTCATTTCATTCTTTACTGTATAGTGTCAATTTGGTAGTAAGTGGTTCACTCCAGTTTGACTAACAATGAAATAAAATCTGTTACCATTGTCCTTAGTGATGCACTACATTGTCCTTAATGATACATTGTATAGCCCAACTGTTTAGCAATTAAAGTTATCAATTTTCATTGACAATATTACCAAATCCAGTGTTTGAAATGCTTTATACCTTGGGTCTTTTTCCTTCCACGATTCACAACGTGAATTATAATATCGGTCATTTGTGTTTGGCACCTGGAACCAGAACGGGTCGTTCTGGTTGCACTTTTGGTGTGTTAATTGTGCATCTGGAACGGCCCGTTCCAAGTGAAAAATTAACACACTAAGAGTGAAACCAGAACGGGCTATTCTGGTTTCAGAACAGACCGTTCTGGTTCCAGGTGTATTCAAGAAATTTGGCATCCACGTGGATGTCAGGTGGCATCCACCTATGCATCTACGTGGCATCCACGTGGTCAACAGTTAACTCCGTTTAAATAATTTGGACGAAAGTCCGACATTGCAACCAATTAATTTATTAGGGACCAAATTGAGACCAAAAATAAAAGTGGGACTAAATTGAAACAAACAATTATTATAAGAGACTAAAATAGGTTTTTAGCCTATTTTAAATGTCAAAAAAGAAGCTTAACAAAGGTTGAACAGGAGACTGTAATTCTCCTATCCTCAACCTCTTCTCCTTCCTTTTATGATAACAACTTTAATACTTCTATTGGTTCCTCTTCTCATTAGAAACTGCAACCTTTAAAGAGGTCATGTGGTAGGCATCTAGGCTCAAAGAACAAACCATTGTTATCTCCCATGATTAGCCAAGACAATGAGCATGACATAAAACCTATTTTGATCAAAGTTTCTAACAACTCTTGCTTGATTGAGACAATGATCCAGTTCGTTCGTCGTTGATGAGTTAGCTTCAATGTTGTAAGCACGCTATGAACCACTTCTTGTGTGACTCTTTACCAACCACTTTCTCAAACTCCTACTTTCATTGTTCATAGACCTTTCACTTTAGTTTCCCTCGTTGGAACTTATATAAATAACAATCTTTTGTTGTTACTTCATCTTTGTCATCATCATCGTCATAAAAAACGAACCTTTGTTATCCTTTTAATATTTTTTTTTTTCAAATTCAAATCAAAGTTTTGCTAGGATAGTTGTAGGAAAATTTTATGGAAACTAATAAGGTTATGATAGTGGTTATACCTTTCAACAACTTCAAGATTCTTAAGCATGGTATCAATGATGGTGATGAGAGAAAGGACAACGTAACTCAAGTGCATGTGATCCATGTAACAATCAAAGCATATCTAGGTCCAAATAATATTGTTACTGGTTACCCTAAGATATGACAATAATTATAATACAATGGGTCAATACATAAAGTGATGATAATTACTAAAAAGTGAAGATCTCCAAATGTGTCATCCTTTACCTCCACTTTGATTTTTCTTCTTTATTTTTTTCATTGTGATATTTACTTGATTTTCCTAAATTATGTAACAAGAAATAATTAATTAGTCAAATATTAAGTTGTATCAAGATATTCAAATGGTAAGAATTTATTTCTTTAATGACTTTTTTTAATTCATAGAATAATTATACATAAATTTATATATTTTATTTTGCCTAATTATGTTCATAAAAAGTAAGAAAGATTTTGAGTTTATGAAAAGACAAAGATACTGTGTAATGAGAGTTTATCAGTTACTTTTGTTATTTAATTTTATGGAATGTATTTTAGTTATTTTTAAGCATGATTTTTTTTTTTACATAAATCTTTTTGAATCCTTAAATGGTGCCTAAGGTAAAAGTTGTTGTCCTTTCACTCTTGTTTTGTGTGTGCGGATGGTGCAACTTATTTTATTGCAAGAATCATGTGTGTGAGGTGATGTCACTGCCGATGTGCGTGATGCAATTTTTGGAATTCCAAATAGAAGGTCTATTTAACTTTCTTGAATGAGAAACACATGGAAAAATCAAAGAGAAAGAAATTGTAGTACAAGCTGCTTTTAAGGAAAAGAGTAAGGAAGAATGACTATTACAATTTTCTTAATTCAAACTAATTTCATCATTAATTGATGTAATGCCTATAATTATTATTTTTCTTATATTTACAAACTCTTTCATTTTTCAATAGTAAAGTATTTGAAAAGATAGGAAAAAGAGAGAGAGACTAACTATTTATTCTTATTCATTGAAAATTAAGGTTCAGATAGTATTTATCATTTCTTATCCATTAAAAATAAATTTAGTATTTTTTTAAATTATTTTTAAACTTAAAGGAATAAGTTTAAAATCATAAAATGAGATATTTACAAATAGGTCAACCAACATTTAATTGTAGTAAAAGAAAAGTTAACAAAAATTAATGAAGTTATAAATGAAAATGACACCTAGCAACTTTTTTAATACAATTTATAAATAATAAAACATTGAATGTTATGAATAAAAAAAGGTAAAAACATATTTAATATCAATTGACTAACTACGAATTTAAATTCTGTTAAAGCAAAACATCTAGAAATATTCAATTTTAAAGTATTTTAAAAAATATATAATATAATTTATTTTCTCTTTACTTAAACTTTACCAAAAGGTCATAGGCATCTTCTAGAAATCATAACCTTTAAATAATAAATAAGTTGGTTCACAATCTTGTTTTAATTTAGACTTTAAGCATGTGGACCCATGAATTTTCATAATTTGCTTTGAAAAAAAAATTATATTTTATAAAAATTATCATATAATGACACATGTTATTAAATACTTATTATTAAAAATTATTTTTACTTATACTATAAATATAATATATGTTGATATGTGATTAAAAAAATGTAGATATAAACTATATTGACACGCTGAATATATTGTAAAATTTTATTTAAAATTAACATTAAAATTGTGTATAGGTATATATCAAATAAATTTATGCCTACATATATTATATTTATAGTACATTTTGTATATTATTATATGTAATATTTCTTGTAATGTTATTCTATTTGATACAATAAGTTATCCTAAAAATCCATGAAAAATGGCTTATTTTTTATTTACTTTCTATTATTATTTGACTTTTTATTTCCCCGCCACTATCTATATAGCTTTAAATGTACATAGCCCATCTCAAATTTTAAACATATATTTATCATCATTACAAATAATTGTGCTTAGTACCTTATTTTTTCTAACCTAAAGCTTTTTCTCCTCTTCATTCTCTGATAAAAACATCTTTCATATCACCATTAATTTTTTCATTAACTTGAAACCACCACACTCAAATAAAACATGCGGCTGACCCACAATTTTGTATCAACTTTTACTTTACTTGTGACCTCATTCATCTTTTTTATTCTCTTAGTTTAGAAAATAACTCTCATCGCTACGAACTACAAATCTTACAAAGAAAACATACAAATAAAACCACTTTCTCATCGTTGTTTTTTTTATTTTTTTTATTTTTTTGTCTTCCATTTTCTTTACCACTTTTAATATCATCTGTTCATCTCAAACCACACACATCTTTCTCACCCTTAATAGTGGTTGAGCCTTTTACCATAATTCCCTAATGTTACACCACCTCATCCTTTTTATTATTATTTAAAGATCACAACTTTCATACAATTATTACCTATTTTATTCTCTACATATTGCTATAATAAATTAAGACATGGAATTAGCCCATGGTCTTTATTCCTCTATGACATAAGCTTACTTGTGGACCTTTATTACCTCCTTAATTCTCATAGGAAACAAATCTTCTCTATTTAAAGGTTATCACTAGAAGAAAACCTCAAAGCAAAATCACATCCTTATCTTTTACTCTTTTCTCTCTCAATGTCTCTCTCTCTATTTCTCTATCTTTCTTTCTTTCACAATCTCTTTTAAAGTTCTTCCATTGATTAAATCTCTCATACATCCTTCTCTCACTTAATAATGGTTGAACCAAGAACTATAATTCCCCTATCATCTCCCTTTTCTCCTTCCTCCGATGACAACAACTCTAATACCATTATTGGTTCCTCCTCTCACCAAAAATCACAACCTTTGAAGAAGGCACGTGGTAGGCCCCTAGGCTCCAAGAACAAACTGATACTACCCACTATGATTAACCAAGCCAACGGGAATGGCCCAAAACCTATTTACATCAATATTCCGAACAACTCTGATTTGATTGAAACAGTGGTCCAATTCGCTCGCCGCTATCAAGTTAACTTCAGTGTCGTAAGTGCATCAGGAACCATTTCCTGTGCGACTCTTCACCAAACTCATTCTCAAATTCCTACTTTCATTGCTCATGGACCTTTCACTTTAGTTTCCCTCAGTGGTACTTATATAAACAACAACCCTTTGGTTGCTACTTCATCTTTGTCATCATCCAATCTCAACCTTCGTGGCCCTTTTTCTATTTCTTTTACTTCAAGTTCAGATCAAAGCTTTGCTGGAATAGTTGCAGGGAAGGTTATGACAGCTAACAAGGTTACTGTGGTCATTTTACCTTTTCAACAACTTTAAGATTCCCAAGAATGGTATTAGTGATGACAGTGAGGAAATGGATAATGATAACTTGAGTGAATGTCATCCATATGGCAATTAAATTATATATAAGCTTAATTAATGTTTTTACCCCTTATCCTTAGACATGACAATAAATATGATACAGTGGGGGTGATGCTTAAGGTGTTGATAACTACTAAAAGCAAAAATCCCCAATTGTGTCATTCGTTTACCTCTATTTTAATTTTCCTTCTTCATTTTTGCTTGTTATATTTATTGAATTTTCCTTCATTATGAAACAATAAATTGTTAATTGGTCTAAAATTAAGTTGTATCGTGATGTTGAAATGATAAAACTCTATTTCTTTAGATTGTAGTTTAGTTATGCATAAAGTTGTTTAATTTAACTTATCCATTTTTCTTTATTTTCTAAAATTCTCTTAGTATTGATACCTTTAACGTAAAAGAGATTATGAGTTTAAGAAAAGATAAGGATCATTATAATTATTTCCAGAAGGCTTGTGATATTTTATATTTATCTTTTTAAATTCTTATATGGTGGTGATAGTAAAAGTTTTCACCTTTTCTCTCTTTCTTGTTGTGTGTCGAAGGTACAACACTTTTTATTTATTTATTTATTTAAGAAATACAGCGTGTGAGGTGATGCAAGTGCCAATGTGTGTGCGTTAATGTGTAGTTTTAGAAATTCAAATAGAAGGTCTATTTTACTTGAATGAGAAACACAGGAACAAATTAAAGGGAATGAAATTAAAAAGTACATGTTGCTTTCAAGGAATACAATATAAAAAAAAATGATTATTAGATTTTTCTTAATTCAAATTAATTTCATCTTTAATTTATGTAATGCTCATAATTCTTTATTTTTTTCTTATATATATTTATAATTTATTATTTTTTTTCAACAATAAGGTGTTGGGAAAGAGAAAAAAAATTATATATTTATTTTTATTCATTAAAAATAAAGCTCAAATAATATTTTTCTGTTCGTATTCATTAAAAATAAATGTAGTATATTTTTAATATTTAAAAACTTAATTGAATAAGTATAAAATCATAAAAATCAGATATTTATAAATAAGTCAACCAACATTAAATTTTATTAAAAGAAAAATTAACAAAGAGTTAATGAAGTTATTAATGGAAATAATTTTAAAGAAATACAAATTTTGAAGAAAAAAAATGTCACCTTGCAACTTTTGCGAAAAGCTTTAATATAATTTAAAAGCAATAAAACGTTGAATGTTATAAAAAAATAAAAGGTATAAACATAATTAATATCATTTGACTAAACACGAATTTATATTCTGTCAAAGGAAAAAACCTTAAAATATTCAATTTTATAGTCTTTAAAGACAACACACACTAGTTTATTTTCACTTGAATCCATCCATATGCTAGAAATCACCAACTTCAGTTAATACATAAGTTAGCCCACAATATTGTTTCAATTTTGACTTGAACCTTTCCTGTGGACTCGACGAATTCCCTTCATTTGCTTTCAAAACAATTTGACTTTTTCTTTCTCCTTCATTTTCTATATCACTTTGAATATACTTGGTACATATCAAATTTGAAGCACATATTTTTCATCATTAAAAATAGTTGTACCTAGTACCTTAATTCCCTCGACCTATACCTTTTTATTCTCTTCGTCCTTTGCTAAAAACATCTTTCATGTCAGTATCAGATATTCCATCAATTTGAAATTGTCACACTCAAATAAAAAATATGATATACTCACAATCTTATATCAATTTTTTTTTATTTATATTTTACGTGTAAGCCCTATTCATCTCCTTGATTCTCTTAGTAAATAAAATTATTCTCATTATTGTGAACTACATATCAACAAAAATATATATAAACAAAATCACTTTCTTATCATTGTTTCTCTCAATTTTTTCTTTTTTTCACTTTCATTACTACTTTTAATATCTCTCGTTCATCTCAAATATGGCACACATCTTTCTCGCCCTTAAAAGTGGTTAAATCTTTTACCTTAATTCCTCGATACTACACCACACCATCCTTTTTTGATCCTTTGAAGACCATAACTTTCATACCACTATTGCATATTCCTTTCCCTATGTACTGCTATCATAAAATAAGACATGGAATTGGTCCATGGTCTTTATTCCTTTATGGCATAAACTTACTTGTGGACTCCTTTTACCTCTCTCCACTCTCCTAGTAAACAAAATTTCTCTATTTTAATTTTAGACTATCATAGGAAAAAAATCTCAACAAAATCACGTCCCTATTTTTTAGTCTATCTTCATTTCTTTCTTCTTTCTATCTCTCCCTCTCCCTCTTTCTCTCTCTCTCTCTCTCTCACACACACACTCTTACACACACACACATACACTTCAATGTTGTAAGCATATCGGGAACCATTTTTTGTGCAACTCTTCGCCAACTCCATACCAGCCATAAATTAATCAAATATTTTTCCTGGCAAAAAATATAAAAATAATTTTTTTAACATGGAGTAACAATTACAAAATTACATCAATTAAGTTTCATTTAACATAAATTTAAAAATAGAACAATAATTACATAAATCAAGTAAATTAAAAAAAAAGTTTATAAAGTTTAAAGCAAATATGAGCATGAATGCATGTATGAGACGAGTAAATATGTACTCATCTCCATCCCTATGCCCGATTTATTAAATCGGGTATTACATGTACCCTACTCGTACCCAATCAAATAAGGTATTATCCATCAAAGTTGGTATAAGTTTGGACATTAATTATAGGTACAATCTTATTTAGAATTCCTAATATGCCTTTAGGCTAAAAGAACAATTTGATACTACCCACCATGATTAACCAAGCTAGCGATCATGGATTAAAACCTATTTACATCAATATTCCTAACAACTCTTATTTAATTAAAACAATGGTCCAATTCACTCATCGCTATCAAGTTAGCATCATTGTTGTAAGTGCATCATGAACCTTTTCTATGTAACTTTTTGCCAACCTCGTTCTCAAACTCCTATTTTCATTGCTCATGGACCTTTCACTTTAGTTTCCCTCACAGGTACCTACATAAACATTAACCCTTTTGATGCTACTTCATCTTCATCATCATCCAATCTCAAGATTTGTTGCCTTTTTTGAATTTCTTTTACTTAAAATTTAGATCAAAGCTTAGTGGGATAGTTGTAGGGAAGGTTATGGTAGCTAACAAGGTTATCGTGGTGGCTTTACCTTTTCAACAACTGTAAGATTACGAAGAATGATATCAGTGATGGTGGTGAGGAAATGGATAATGATAACTTGTGTGCATGTGATCCATGTGGTAATCAAAGATTATATAGGTTCAATTGATGTTTTTACCCCTTACCATTAAATATGACAATAAATATAAAATATACTGGGGCGACACTTAAGGTGTTAATAACTAATGATAGTGAAGATCTCCAAATGTTTGATTTTCCTTCTTCATTTCCACTTTATGATATTTACTTTAATTTTCTTAATTATGCAACAATAAATTGTTAATTAGTCTAATATTAAGGTGTATCCCAATGTTGAAATGACATGACTCTCTTTCTTTAATGACATCTCTTAGTTTGTAGAGAAATTACACATAAAGTTATCTAATTTAACTTACTTTATTTTTTTTTTCATTTTTAAGAATTCTCACATTCTTGGTAACCTATATAAATAAGAAAGATTACAATTTTAAGAAAATAGAACAATCTTCTTCAATGGTGGTTTATCAGTTTTTTTTGTTATTTATTTCTATCAATTGTATTTAGTTATTTCTAAAAGCATAATGCTTTTTTAGATTTATCATTTTGAATTCTTAGATGGTGGTATGGTAAAAGTTGGCACCCTTTCTCTTTTTTTTTTTTTTTTTTGTGTATTGAAGATGCAACTTATTTCATTGCAAAATTATGTTGTGTGAGGTGATGCCAGTGTCAACATGTGTGTGTTGGTGTGCAATTTTGTTCAAGTAAAAGGTCTGTTTTACTCCCTTGAATGTAAAACATGGACAAATTAAAAAGAAAGAAGTTATGAATACATGTTGCCTTTAAGGGAATGAGTATGTAAGAATGATTAATACTTTTCCTTAATTCAAATTAATTTAATCGTTAATTTATGTAATTTTTATTTATTTGTTTATTTATTTATTTTTGTTGTATTTATAAAATCTTTCCTTTTTCAACAATAAGGTGCTTGAAAAGAGAAAAAATCTAACCATTTATTTTTTTTAATTTCAAATTAGGTTCAAATAACATACCCATTATTCAGTGTTAAGTTTCAAGAGTGTCAAATTTGAGACTATTTTGATGTGTTAATATTTGTCTTTACAAGTCATATGCTGTAAGATTACTCAACACTTGGGACTATGAGTGATATAAGGATGGTGAATCTAGACACAAAACACATATACCCATACCGAGCAAACACTTGTATTGACACATAATGTCACAAATGATATAGATGTTTATGTTCGTAATAGGGATAAAAGGGTTAAGGATAGAGGTGATCAACAAGGTCGAAGAAAGGGACAATGATAGTTGATGCACTATTAAAATTTGATGTCATTGATACTTGATTATGATATTTATTTGTTGAGGTGTAATAAATATTAACTAACTTTAAGAACTTAAGCTTTACAATTTCAGATTATCTGATCCAATTTGAAAAAAGTCATTATGAAACACTCAATCCAAAATGATATAATATTTTGAAACACTCAATAAAAGATGATATATCTATTATAGAACATTGAATCTAAAATGTTATTTGTGTTCCTAACATCTATTTTGGAATAGTAAAGATGTCTAAAACACTCATTTTGAAATAGAAAATATGCATTCTTAAATGAATTTAATAGTAATATACTACACTGTAAAGTAATTTTTTACTGTTATTCAATCACAATTCACATAAGTAACAAGTTTGTTGACTTTTGTAATAATCACCTTAAAATTTATATAAACTATAATTTCTAATTGGTTAATTGTGTAAAAAAAATTTATACCAACCGTGCATAACTATTAAATTCTTAAAAAATGTCTATAATGGATGTTATATACTACATAATGAAAGATAATTTAAGCATTTTCAACTAATGATGTTACATGATTTAAAAATGGATAAGAACATATAGGAGTAGATATATGAGTTAAAGTTTACAGTTGGCCTACGAAACTTGTAACTTGCATAGTTAACAAGTATATATATAAATACTTTAGAGGTAAATTTTAGGAGATGAATAGAAATAAAAAAGTATTTATCTCAGAAACTAAACCCATTAAAATTTGGAGGTTCTCAGGTGGGGCCAGGGCCATAAACGGGCGAAGTCTTGTACCGAGCCATGGGTACATGAAGTAACTGCTTAAATACTATAACAGTATTGAACGGGCCAGGCCCGTTGGAGAGTTAAACCTGCTTGGTGCAGGTGTAGTGTAGCATTAGCGGTAAGCATCTTCTCTTCAAATAAACCCTGAAGCTGAAGCTGAAGCCGAAGGTGGAGTTCTTTTTCTTTTCTCCCCTCTCACAATCACAACCATGTCCTCTTTCCTACGAAAACCTCTCAGGACTAAGGGCTTATCCCTGTTTCTGCACAAACTCCTCGGAAACTCGTCCCAGTCGCATCGCATTCTAGCTTCATCAACCTCGTTTTGCTCACTTCCTCACCATCCCACTCCTTTCTTCGCTTCAAATTCGGTCCCAAGTGCCATCCACTCTAACGCCTCTCTTCAATTTCGCTTCTGGGCCTCTGAGGCCGCCGCCACCGAACCCTCAACCTCCGATGGGCTCACGGTCCAAGGAATTCTGGCCCATAATTGGACCATTCTCGACGAAAACGACAGCGATTGGAAGAGTCACGCCGCCGCCGTAGCTCAATCGATTCATTTGATCAAACGTCGCTTACAGGTAAATGTTCTGCTTCCTCTTAATTAACCATGCTTTGTTTATTGGTTAATAAGTGGTTCTTAGCACCGGTTGTACTTTAGATACAAGTTTAAAAGAGTCTTTTTTTTTAATAATGCTAAATTTGCACCACTCTTTTCTTGTTCTGGTATGATTGTTTGTTTTTCACAGTTCCAAGTGAACTTGATCCATGTGTGTTGTGTTGTGGTGGCAGTGGAGGAAATTGAAGGTGAGGTTGGATATGTTATCTGCTCAGGTGAATAAGGAAGACCTTTGGGATGATCCAGTGCGTGCGGGTAAAATAAGCCGAGAGCACGGTTCGCTCCTAGGGAAAATGAAGGTGGTAAATGCATTGGAACAAGAGTTACTTGAGCATATTGACATGATAAAGCTTGCGCGCGAAGAGAATGATGCGGATTTGGAATCGGTGGGGACTCGCTTCATCTTCTCCTAGGCATGTATTCATCTGTTTTTTTCTTTTTCTTTTTTTCCTTTTCTTTCAAAACAGTGTGATGCTTTGATTTGGTGTGCAAAGTAGAGTGAAAATGTGGAGATTAAGACAACTAAAAGTTTAAGCTGTGAGGAGGATATGTCAATTTATTGTCACAAAAATAAAATTTAAGTAGATACTGTATTATTGAACATCGTATTGCAATGTTAGATAATGGATAGGGCTCAACCTATTACACAGTAGATCTAATTTAGAGGAAATGTGTATCATGGTCCTAAATGCCAACATCGTGTTTTGCTGTTGTTTCTTCTCTTTTGAAATTTGTAGAGTTAGATGGATCATTTTTTAATAGTAGATGCTTATTTATATATTCATGCATAGAGTGTTTCCCCTTTCAGGAATCATTGAAAGCGTTGCTTAACATGAGAAGGAATGCAAAAGAGAAAGAGCTAGAGGCATTGCTTTCTGGGGAGCAAGATTCTTGTTCATGTTACATTGAGGTTGTTGTCATAGATATTTAAAAGTTTCTGTTATTGCATTGGTATTTTTATCCTTATTCATGCCCAAGCCAACAATTTAGGACTATGAGCATGATGTTGGCATGCTGCACTAGAATATCTGGTAACTTCTCTTTTTTCTTTGTCCAGCGTTAGTAAAGCAGGGAACAACGACTGTGGTTCTGTATGTGTGTTACTGTTGAAGCTTACTGTTTTATAATTTAATATAGGTTCAACCTGGAGCTGGGGGTACTGAGAGCATGGACTGGGCTGCAATGGTTATGCAGATGTATAAGTCCTGGGCAAAGCAACGTGGATATAAAGTAACTGTAATCGATGAAATGCCTGGTGAGATTGCAGGAATCAAGGTTCTTCTTCATACCATCCTTCAAGAGTTACTTTGAACTATTTTGCAATTTTCCTCACAAGTCTCCATATAAGATTGCATGACCCATGGCTTCCTCTTGCTAATGTGACTATTGTTTCAGATTTGAAGTTTTAAGTTGCTTAACTTGCATTGCATTTAAAGTTCAAGCAAGATTACCATTAAGATTCCGGTTCCATTTGGAGCCTCTAGTTCATGTGTTCAACATAGTTTTTTCCTTTGACACTTATTCCCATATGTTATATTTTTTATTGTAGAGAACTACTAGTTTCTGAATATATGGATCTATGTTTTTTCAGCGAGCCACCATCAAAGTAGATGGGGAGTTTGCATTTGGATATGCCAAAGCAGAAATAGGAGTGCACAGGCTAGTGCGCATATCACCGTTTGACAGTAGTAAGCGCCGGCACACTTCATTCGCTGCCGTGGCAGTGATTCCAATCCTTGGTGAGGGATCTACTCATGTACAAATTAATGAAACTGATCTTCGAATTGAACGATTTCGTGCTGGTGGTGCTGGTGGCCAACATGTTAACACGACTGAAAGTGCTGTAAGAATAACTCATATTCCTACAGGAGTTACTGCAACTTGTCAGAATGAAAGGTATGATATGAAATATGTGCACATATTCATGTATTGTGTTGATGGTGTCGTGTTCTTAGATTTTGAATTTGGTTATTATTTTGAAAACAGATCGCAACATCTGAATAAGGCTTCAGCGATGGCTGTGCTTCAGTCAAGATTAGACCAATTGGAGATGGCACGCCAGTCTCAGTTGAATGCACAGCATACACAATCTCTCACTGACATAACTTGGGGCAATCAGATTCGAAGTTATGTTCTCCATGTAAGTTTGAAGTTGTACATGCCCCCACCACTTCTGGCAGGCTTTGATGACCTTAGCATTTTAATTAATTATAATAGTAATTATTGTTATTTTATCTATGATGCAGCCTTACCGTATGGTGAAAGATCTTAGAACTAACTATGAGGTTTCTGATCCTGACTCTGTCCTTGAGGGAGATCTAGACGGTTTCATCTTGAGCTATCTATCAGCTTCTCTGGATAAAGATGATGATGCTTAAATCAATTAAATTCTCAGCTTGCATATTTAGTGCTGAAATGGGTATACGCTTGTGCATTTTCAGCGTCTGAGGCAAAGTCAGCTGTCCTTTCTGTTTCTGTTACTGGCATTCCTCATCAAGGTCTATCAGAATATAAAGGAAGCATATTTGGGCTGCCTATGGTACCTTTGCGGTAACAAATAATTGAATACATACATTGAATTATGAATATGGAAGTATGAAGCTTAGAAGTTTGATTTTATTTGGCTTCCCAATGACCTTTGGTGCAGCCGATCATGATTACTGTTCATTAAGATTCGTTATTTACATATAGAACGATTATTGTTCGAAAGGTACGTGAGATGTGTATCTTTTTTATCTTCTGAGAATAAACGATGCAAAAATACTTGTGGATGGCTTGCCAAATCTGCCGAAGGAATTAGTGGATAAACTTCTGTAATTGATTTTCAAAATCGTGACTCAGAAAAAGATAGCATCGAAACCCGATTAAGAGTGTAGATGAATTTGTGTTCTTCTGTTACGCATGAATGTAACCGTATATCAACGTTAACGGCAGGTACCTTTTATTATTTATTTTTTACCTTTAAACTTGGTAAGTTCTACAGAGTGGCCAAGTGGTAAATTAAACTTGAGTTGGTAATTAAAGAGACTTAGTGAAGAGGATGAGAAGAATCAATGAGTGAGGTTGTAAATCTGAAAATTCTACATTTATGGAGAAAAATTATAATTATAAAATTTTAGTCCCTTTTGAAATCTTAAAATATGAAGGAAGAGGATGTATGTGAAAGGGAGGGGAGTGTTTGAAAAAAAAAATTGAACTTTTAAGATAAAAGGAGAGAAAGGTGTGTGTAAAAACGGAACTTAGAAAAAAAAAAGATCATAAGAGGCAAGAGAGGTTTGCAAAATTGAGAAATTAAAAAAAAATATTTTTAAAAAAGGTATAATATATATTATTAATATAAGGAAGTGCATATAACCTTAATTTATCATTAGTCATAAGAGAGTTGGTTGTAATTTAAGTTGCTCGAAATCGTCATGCCCAAAGCAAGCCCGTTTTTAACACTCCTGTTGGGCCCATTGGACAGCCCATTATCTGTGTGGTGAATTTTCACAGATGTCTTCTCTCTCCAATAGGTGATTGCCTGAACCTCAAACCAAGAATCTGTTCTTAAAATTCTTCCTTCCCTTCGAAGCCTTCAAGGCCTCTTTTAATTTATTATTGTTTATACTTTATAGAAATCTATTTATAATTTGGTTAGATTCCGTTTTACCGTTACTGCCATGCCATGGATTTCCAGAAGAAGAAGGTTCAGTTTCTAGCCTTTGTCGCTGTCATCATTGCTCTTAGCATCATAGGTACCTAACCTTTCATTACCTATTCAATGTATTCTATTTAGGCGATTACAATTGAATTTCCTTTTTTTTTTTTTTTTTTTTTTTTTTTTTTTTTTTTTTTTTTTT